TAGATTCATTGTTCTCAAGCAAAACAAAACAAAGTCTTTCAACACACCACCGATTAATGTTGCTTATGATAAAAATAGAACGTAGAACAACATCAATAGTCGTTCACTATTGGATAAACACTTTTGATCACAGCGATAAGGAAACTGAAATACGCTCCCATACTATTTAGTTTTTCTTAACTCACTTCTCACCCCATTCCTTGGGATGCTGATGTCAAATCAAACAGTTGGAGATCGGGAACGCGAATCCGATCCGGCTCGTCCGTGTCACATTCGTACACGCGTGCGACAGGTTATACGATGAGAGAGGAATGAAATCAATCAACGAGCAGTCATTCATTGGCTATGCTAATCGATCACAGTACCATGCCGTGGAGATGCCATACCTGCCACCCATGCTCACCCATTTCGGCTACCTCAACCGGGCGAAGTGAACGAATAGCGCGCGCGCATACACACACAATCGTATCCAGCTGAGTCACATGTCAGCAGTGAGCTCAATTTTGAATAGTTCCTGTCGAATGCTGTTCATCAAAGCTGTTTAATGAACTGGCTACACTCTCTTGACAAACCAACTAGGGGTGCAAATCAATAACAGATGAAATGCGGTCGTGCAGGAAATGTGTTGGATGAACTATCTGAGTTCATATTTGTAAGTTCCATTTTGTTGTTGTTGTGTGGTTTGGAAATGTTCACAGTCGATGGACAGAATGAGCTGTTCCATTTCTGGTCTGATTCGCTGGATCCTGTCAAATGTCACGCTTGTTTCCATTGGCTGTGAACATTTCCAAACCACACAACAGCAACAAACCCTGCCCTTTCATTTCCAGACCACATATCACAAGATCACAATCAACCAATCATATTCATTGCCTCATCACATATATATATATATATGATAGTTTTATAAACAACGGTGTTGATTGTTGTTTTTGTAGCTCAGGTATTATAACTTGGCAAACAAGCATCAGCTACTCAGGCAACGTCACATCTCCACATGACTTAACGATCTATATAAGGAAAGGGACACTCGTAAGCGCTCACCCAGTTACTGCATTAAGAATGTGTAAAGATTGTAGTAGTAGTAGTAGTAGTAGTAGTAGTAGTAGTAGTAGTAGTAGTAG